AATAAAAATTCTTAAATTAAAACTTATTCAATTTTCATGTGCTCTGAGATAATTTTTTTGCATTTAAATAGCTAGTTATATCAATTGCAAGTAATTAAAAATAAAAAAAATAAGAGTATCAGCTTTACTGAATACTGTTGAATAATACAAAATACAACATATTATTTTTCAAAAAAGGTTTATCAATAACAGTTTAAAAAAAAAACAATTTTTTTAATATAAATTCTTAATCTAAAGTAGACAGACAAGCCTTACACATTTTATCTGAATTACTCATAATATTTACATGTATAATTGACAAGAGCAAATAATTACCAAAATTTTTTTATTTTATGCATGAAATAATTTAAAAAATATTAAGACATTCTTTCTAAACAAAATGATAATGCAAGCAAAATGGTTATCACTATCAGGAAATCTAGAAGAGACTCCTGACAAAAGCATGAATCATCGTAAAGTGGACTACTGATGAGAAAATCCTGTAAGCAAAATGAACTAGCAATACAATTTTGAAATGTTACTATTATGAAAAACTGAAAAAGCTTTTAAGCAAAAGAAAAATATTTGACTGCCATGTGCTATGATCCTTGCTTTTTAAGTTATGAGGTTGCTGACTCATAAAACTGTTGGTATTGCTAAAAATATGTTCAAAGCAATAATTAAAAATACAATAAAAATTATTAAAAAGTCAATTTTATTGACTTAAAAAATCTAAAAAATTAGTAACATATGAAGTTTGTTTTGTAAATGTTTATTATCAAAGCACTATATATTTTCATCATTTTACAAGCCTTGTAAATACATTACAAGAAATTACATATTTTTAACAATTTAACTGCTATGTCAGCATAGGTAATTAGTCAATATATTTTTAAGTTAAACTTAATTTTTCAAGATTAAATCTCCTTAAAACTTTATATATTTTTAATGTAAATGATGAAATAAAATGCACATATAGGTGATATTAAAAACGTTAAAGAAGTTAACTGGGTGAAAGTACATGATAAACAAGAGATCTATGACAATGATACTTCAATCAAAGTTAAAGTTAAAATTAATAATAAAAAATACATTAAACGAATTTAAAGGGATCCAATTTATTTCAAAATGAATAAATCTATTAAAAAATTATTTACTCCATATTTTTACTATGTTTGCAAACGTTTTATCTGCCACTTCTTGCTCTCACTGGAAAAAAAGGAAGGAAAGAGTTTAATAAATATTGCAACTAACGACTTCAAAAATGTTCATACGTTTTTTAATCAGTTTGGAATACATTTGGTAAGAAAAAAAGAAAAAATGCTGAACATTAAAAATGAAAGAAATATAGCAAAAAAAAAAAAAAAAAAAAAAAACAGGTGTACATATTTTTAAAATATGCAAATTGAGTCATTATGTAAAGGATTGAATCTCCCCTACATACATGAAATTAATATCAAATGGAAATCTTTAAAAACAATTTTCTAACATATTTCATCGAAAAGTCTGAATATTAATCACAAGAATTATTTCACGCAGCAGTTATAAACACATGAGGTTATTAAATGCCAGTTATCATTTAAACCATCTGTAGCAGAAGCAAGCAATTAAAAAAATATCTAGATTGAACATTTCTGTTTTGATTTATTTTTTTATTTTTTTTGGCTCAGTTCACAGCTCCCTAGGAAGACAGTATCGTGATCTTTAGAATAAAAAAAATAATTAAAGATAACTTAAAATTGATAGAAACAAGTTTTATTTCTTTCATCTTAGCTTTAGTTTTTTTTTGTATATAGCTTTTCGATGTAATGATTTTTACAATGGAAGTAGTTCACAGAAGATGCCTGTTCACTAACATTTCTAGATCAATTTTTTAAGATGAAAATAATAAAAAAAAAGAAAATCAAAGTTCAAAAGATCACAGATTATAGGAATTCAATCCATAAAATAGGATAAAATAACTCCATATCCAATAAAAAGAAACAACTTTTTTCCCTTTTTAAATCAATACACCGCCAAGTTAATACGAAGTATTAGTTTTAAATAAACACTCATATGCACACGGTTTAGTTGAGAAGGGGTAGCCTTTATAAAGGTGACACTGACAGAAAGTTATTATTAGTAAAAATATGTTCTCCAAGAATGGAAAAAACATGGCTACAGTTATGTATTGCAATGACAAACTGGAAACTGAATAGAAAATAATGATACTTCCACTCAATATCAGTTGCCACTTCCATTGACACAGCAAAAAACATCAGCAACAATTTCTCATTTTTAAATGAGAGCAGTGGATTGGCTTTTCTCGATGTATTTTGTTTGTTTCTCTGTCTTGAAGTTTTAGCGGAACTTAACTGTGTCTGTTCATTTACGAGTCACAGCAACCCAAGTGAGGCTACACATATTTATGATGCATAGGAATAATAATAAACTTGTTCAAGGTCAGTTGTTGCTGTCCAGCACCAAGAAGGAAACAAAAAGTTCCTTAATAATCTGTACACTGTATCATGTTTTGGAATACAGAGAAGAGCAATGAATCTAACATGCTACACATTTTGACTTAAGACTTTTTTCCTTTTTTAATTCTAAGAATTTTGTGTGTATGTATGTGTGTGTGATTTATGCATATTTGCATTTTCATAGTGTATTTGCTTGCTCGGGATCGGGGATCTGTCTTTTATTATAAAATTTTCTGATGTAATACAACTCCCAAAATGTAATCACCACCTTCAACTACACCTGGCCATTTCATGATACTCCTTCACTTTCATATAAAGAAAACTCCAGTGCACTGCCAATGCCATGTTTGCTCGCTACAAACTACCACAGGATCTGCAGGTCAAAATGTGATCTCTCATTAAAAAAAAAATTACAACGTTTTTATCAGAATTTATTTAAAAATCATTTACAGATAATTATTTATACGCGTACAATTGTTCCAGCGATAATTTCACAATATATCGCTAAGTAAACACCAAAATAAAAATTATCGATGCATCAGATATTGACAATGCATTTGATTTGTTGAGTGTAGGTATTCTTACAGTAAAAAAAGAGGGGAAATATGCATTTGTGTCATATGTACATTGTACAATCTTTTTATGTGTGATCTAAGGACATGTAATGTATATTGTAATTTGTAATGTACATTTACTACACAGTCATTGGCAATAATAATGTGTGTTGACAATTGACACATACAATATACCACGTGATCAATTAGTTGGCAACTTGGCAATGATTTTTTTAAAAATGATTACACCAAGAAATGTTATTTCCCAAACAAAATGTGTGGGTCCATCAATTGTATAAAGTTCAAAGCATAAACTGCTAACTGTTCATAATGAACAGTTAGCAGTTTGAATACATCATGTTCATTGTTTATGTTTGAATTACAAAAGGAAAATGTGAAAATAAAAGATGCTGACACAAAGTACTTGACCCTTTCCGGCTTTTGTGTAAAAATAGTTTGTTTTTTTTTTATGTGGGAAACATAGCCAACTAATTAACCATTAATACATACATACGTAAGGTATTACAATACACATGGATAATGAAACAAGGTGACAATGTTTCTCGTTAGGTCAGTTAGTAAAAATGAGAAAAATAAAAAAAATATTTTAGGGGTCATTTTGCGTAATCATACAACCGAAAACGTAATAAATCGTTTAAAAATATATTTAAAGCATCAGGACATACATTTTTAATTACCTTATCATGGTAACACCCACCATAAAAAAATTAATTAATTAGAAATTAAAAAAGTAAAACTATGCTTTTCTTCAAAGACTTGGAGTAAAAGACCTATTTTTGTTCAAGCCTGCTCTAAGTGAAGAAGTGTATTTAATTGTTTCCTCACTAATTATCAAGTCAAAGTTTTTATATAAACAAAGTACACTAAAAATAAAAACCAAGCATCTAATTTCCATTTATTACTGACAATATATATTTTTTATCATAATTTGTTAATGAATTCAAAGGTACAAACACTACTAAATCTGTTAGAAGGGAAGTAACAAACACTGTACCTCAAAATTTCAATTAAAAAATGTTATAATTGTTTTTTTTAAATGTAACAATTACAATATAATCCAGTTATTAAAAATCATGATATACACGCAAATTTTAAAACAAAAATATGAAAATCGTTATACAGAAGTATAAGAGTAAAAACTATTCAAATAACTAGAAATAAAAAAAATAGATATTAAAAAAATATTTTCACAAAAATTAGATTTTAGATTTTCATATTGCATATGATCTATTTCTGCAGTTTCATTTTTTAGTCTTTAAAAAAAATATGGACAATATTAGCTTTGAATATCAACATGTCTATTTCTTTCCTTCTTTCTTTTCCTTCCAATCATACTTTTTCGAAAAAAAAAAAATGTTCAACTCATAATACTGGAGGCATGCTTGGCGCACAATTTTGGCGAGCTGGGTTTTGTTTAAAAAAATATACAGAGCAAAGACAATGGACTTTTCTGCAGGGTGTCACCACATAAAATATATCCACAAAATCATTTACAATTAAAAAGATTTAATCAATTTCTTGAGGTATTAAAAATTGAATCAGTTAAAATGATAGCAAAATGTAAAGAATAATTGTCAATTGTCACATACAAAATAATACTAATCTTTTAGTAGAAAATACCTAGAACCACAATTAGTCAGCAGTCATTGTTGCTGACTTGAATTCCAAATAAAAAAATGTTCTGCACGTGTGTTCTTCAGTCTGCATACTTAGTAGATGCATATTTAGTATACATATTTCCAAATTAAAGTATATATATATATATATATATATATACCTATATATATATAGAGAGAGAGAGAGAAAGATTCTAAAGAGAGTCACAAAGGTCCCCTGCAGCAAGTCCCAATACAATCCAGTGGCAAGGAGTAGCATGCGAACATTCAGGCTAATGGTAGTAGTAGAAATGTATGTCTGTCGTAGTAAGCTTTTTCAGGAGGGGTAACTCCAAATATAGGACACACCAAAAGACAAAGCAGGTAAACAACTACGGCATACCTTCCAGTGTTTGGACCTGATTTTCTCCATTAGGAAGTGACTGTATATCCTGTGAAAAACTAAGCATATTGGACTCATTGTCCACATCATTTTCAGAGACAACTGCAGATTTCTGCACAGGTAACTCCTCCATTACAGCAGCAATTTCAGACTTAACACTATCTAAAACAGATTCTACAATGTTGGCAGCAGTAGTAGGCACTTGTTCAATGGAACCAGTAAAGTCTATTTGCCCCGGTCCATTTGAAACATTTTCATTCTCAAGATTTTCAATGGATTCGTTGTTTTCAATAACGGGTACATTCACATCTGAAATTTCAACTTTCTCTTCTTGGCTGTTGTTGATTACTTCTTGCGTTTCAGTTTCCTCAAATGTAACTTCAGGTGTTGATGTTACTGCCTCATCAGCAGCACTTTCAGTATGCTCTAAACTTTCACTTGTAAAGGTAGGGAGAGTAGATGCCTCAGCTAGAATGCTATCATTTTCAACCTTGGAATCTATGACCTCTTCACTTTCAACTGCAATAACTGCTTTTGTTGGTATCTCACATAGTTCTTTTTCGTCACTGAAGTTTTGTACTACTGGTTCTTCTGCTTGTTGTTCAAGCCTTTTTTCAATCTCCTGTAACACTTCTGATTCAGGCTCTCCTTTTCCAATATCCTGAACTACTACTGGTTCAATGTTTTCTTGCTCACTCTCCTCCTGTACTTCTGGTTCAGTTTTTAATTGTTCAATCTCTTGTACTTCTGGTTCAGTTTTTACTTGTTCAATCTCCTGTACTTCTGGTTCAATCTTTTCTTGATCAATCTCTTGTACTTCTGGTTCAGTTTTTAATTGTTCAATCTCCTGTACTTCTGGTTCAGTTTTTAATTGTTCAATCTCCTGTACTTCTGGTTCAAACTTTTCTTGCTCAATTTCTTGTATTTCTGATTCAATCTTTTCTTGCTTAATCTCCTGTGCTACTTCCCGTTCAGTCTCTTCTTGCACAATCTCCTGTACTACTACTTGTTTAGTCTCTTGACCAACATCCTGTACTGCTTCAGGCTCAGTCTTTTCTTGCTCAATCTCCTGAACCACTTCTGCATCCGTTTCATCTTTTTCAATATCTTGTATCACTTCCGGCACAGTCTCTTTTAATTCAGTCTCCTGCACTACTTCTGGTTCAGTCTCACTTTGATCAATCTCCTCCACTGCTTCTGGTTTGGTTTCTTGTACAACTTCTTGTACTGCTACATCCTCAGGTAATGATTCTCTCTCTTGTTCAATCTCTTCTTTTAGTTGTTCTTGAATATTTTCAACAATATTATCACTAACTTCATCTACCTCTTCAGTGATGGGAGCTACAGGCAAAGGAATCTCTTGTTTTATTTCTTCTACAATAGGTTCTTTAACAACTGTTATTTCTTCTTTACTTTTTTTTGTAAAAATTTCAACAGACTCAGTTGGCAATAGCATGTCTTCCTCATATGCACCCTTGGGGGAAGGTAGTGCAGAGGGGACCTCAGCAGTCATAAGATCAGCTGCTAAGATTTGGCTAGCCTCAACTTGCTTTTCATGTTCACTCTTGAAAATATCTTCTGCTTTTTCAACAACCTCCACAACATTCTCTTTTGCTTCCAAAGCAGGCGGAGGAGGAAAGTGGTCCTTTGAAGATTCAAGGAGACTATCAACACTGGTTTCAGTAATAGCTTCTTGCACAGCTCCACTATCTACACTAGTTTCTTGAAGATCACTTGATGGAACAGTGATTGCATCAACACTAGTTTCAGTTACATCAGTTTCCACAATTTTCCCACTGTCCACACTTGTTTCAGTAAGATCAGCTTCAATGGAAGTAGCAACATCAGGTACATCTGTCTCAACTTGTTCTACAGTGGCTGGAATGGCTTCATCCAATAAAGAGCTTGGCACAGATTCTTTGACAGTTGTAATGACCTTAGAAATGCTCTCTTCAACAGCAGGGATCACAATATCTTCAATCTTTTCAGATAAATCAGCTGCACCTTCAGTAACTTTCTGGGACACTGCCTGAACAATAGTGACTTCTTTCTCTTCTTTTTCAGCTTCAGGGGCAGATTCAGTAGAAGGCTTCACATCATTAACAATCTCTTCAACAGTTTTACTGGACTGCTCAGATTTCTCTTTCATTTCAGTAACAACATCTTCTTTCACTTCAACAATAGGAGTTGATTCAATTTCATTGCCCTGAGAATCCATAAACTTGCTCACAGATGAAGTGACCACACTTTTATATTCCTGGGTACTACTGCAGCTCAGTTTGCTGACTGATTCACTGGCACTGCTTGTGTATTTCGTAACAGTCTCAGAAACATCTCCACTGATTTTATTAATAGTTTCAGTGGCACCACTGCTCAGTTTACTCACTTTTTCAGAAGTACTACTTGAAACTTTGCTCACCTCTTTAGTGATCATGGTCTTGCATTCTTCAGTTACTGATTTGACCACTTCAGATGCAACTTCCATGGCAGTTGCTTTAATGTCATCACTAATATCCTTCTTCTCAACCATGACAAAGTCTTCATCATCTTTCTTTTCAATTTGTTGCAAGGTAGTTTGTCCCTCTGTGGTTACTTCAGGGATAGTAGTTTTAGCCTCAGCTGTTATAGAGTGGGGAGCTTCTATTTTTTCAGTTGCTGCCTCCATAGCTTTAGTCACTTCAGCAGTCAGTGACTCATCCACTTTGGCTACATCCTTCAGAATGTCCAGTTCTGTGTTGTCAATTTTGGTATCTGGAGTTGCTTCTTTAGCCACCTCTGCAGCATCCTCAGGAAGAAGTGGCTCCTGAGCATTTTCTCCACTGGCTGCTGGACGTTCAAATAAAACATTTTCCTCGTTTTTTTCAGCTGGTTTATCCACTAGATTCTCCTCCTCAGCTTCTTTTTTTGCCTGTTTTCCTAAAGAACAACCCATTTTCCTTTTTGCTTTCTTAAAAAATAATCAATAATAGAAAGTTGAAAAAATCCTTTTTTTAATGCGACTTTTTTTTTGTTTTGTTCCTTTCAAGAAGCAATTAAATCAGCTTCGGCAAAAAATAATTAAAAACCATCCAAAAACAAAAATCCACACACAAAAGATTACGTTTTTTGATGACACTCCTCAAGATTATGTCTTTGTTTCCCTTGAAAGAAAATAATCATATATTGCTTATCCAATGAAAAGGTAAATCCGGAAAGTGTTAAATTATCCAGGTTATTATTCTTGAAAGTATCCAAGTATTTGTTTTACAAATTCAACTTTAAGAAAATATGCTTTTTAACACCAAATAAATGGCATTAACAATAACTTTATAAAGTAGAGGGAATCGTCAAAACCACAAATGAAGAAAACCAACTCACCGTTATCAAAGGCAGAGCAAAAGAATTCTTTTGACAAGCAGAGTCGAAATTCTTATGTACGCGTACAAATGCACACACGCGCATCAAATTCTTTCTCCTTATTTTCACAAGGGTTTCAATTACTGGAATCAAAACAGTCAATATAATAAATACTTGACTGTTATGTTTTAAGAAATATTTTCCACAAAAAATCGTCGACTGTGTAGTCGCAAAATATATCCAATAACAGCGAGTAGAATGAAGGAATCTGGCCAGTTAGATATTGGTGAAGCTGCTCTTTCTACAGTGATGAGAAATGGTAAGATGTATTTTCCAATGTTATTTAGATGTAGTAGCCTGTTTTGCGTGTATTTTCCTGCTTGGGTTGCTAATGTTAAATCAGTTATAATACTTCTGGATACATTCTAGCATTGTTCAGTAATGACAGATTTAAGAACTGCGTGTGTGCCTATCCACAACTAGGGTGCAGTCTGTGAAGACAGACAAAACCAGGCAGTGTGGTTGACTGCTTACTGGGTTGGTGAAGGGCAGAGCTGGTAGAGTAGTTATCTTCCTAGCTGCCACTCCTCACAACACATGAAGATGATAGCACGGAAAGAAGTGCCGAGGAGCAAGGAGATACTTTTTCCATCAGTAGAACTGGGCACAGATAAGAAGAGATATATCTAGTCCGAGGGTTACTGCTGCTGTGAAGGTACTGGTGCTGGAAGCATAAATCATTGTAGGTGTAGTTATATGTAGTAGATGTAGAGGTAGCAGTGTTGGTAGTAGTAGTTGTTGTACTTGTGGTGGAGGCGGCGGCGGCAGTAGTAGAAATTAATGATAGTTGTATTAAGGAGTTATGAAGGGGAGGACTTCACACACAATCGTATGCACGCACACACACGTATACTCACAAACTCCACCGTTAACTGGTTAGGAGAGAAACAAACTGATTACAGATGGTTTGTAAGAGTTGGATTGCTAATAGAGTCTCTATTCCCCTTTCTCTTCCACTCCTTCCTTTGAACAGTGCCTGTTTGACTGTCTACCTACTTTGGTACCCACTCTCTTTCTTTACACTTCAGTTCCTTTCTATCAGCTGGCAATATCAGCAATAAAATATATAGCTCACTCAACACCTCAAGCATGCAGTATCCTGTAAAAATGGGAATTAAATTTAAACAAAAATTAACTAAGAATAAAAAAAATGGAAATGCAAGATAACAAGGGAACGAGTAATAAAACAAATTTCGTTTATTAATTATATGAAACACAGAACAATTAACTGAGAAAAAATTATTAAAAATAGATGCTTGGTCAATTACTCAACCATTCATTTAGCACCACTGACTTTTTCAGTATGCTTCATTTGCTTATAGCTTATGTGACCCTTTCTTCCTTATTCACTAAGTGTTACTCGATTACTTCATTGTCTATCCCTTAATTAAAATAAATTATAATATCACTTTACAAAAATTAATTGTGTCCGAAGTTTTAGTGTGAAACAATTAAGAACGGATAAAAATTAATTATAAAATCATATTGGTTACTTACTATCTAAAACGCTGAAGGCGTTTGGTAGTTGCTATACTTGGACAGTAGTAGTCAGCTATGATTGTCCAGAAAAAATGTAGTAAAATGTAAGTTAAATGACTGATAGACCGAGTGAAGATAAAACTTCATTTTGCATTATCTTTGTTCACATTGTTACTTTTGCACTCTTTTTCTTCGAACCTTCTAACATTGTTTCTGTTTTAAACATATATCTGTAAAAATGTTAATTTCGAGTAGGAGAACAAATCATTGATGGCAATGGGGGCAACCGAGAGAAAGGAAAGTGAAATGAAAAGATGTGGGGGAAACAAGACCTGGAAAAATGGAATTAAAAAAAAAAAAAAGATGGGAAAGAAAAGTGGGAATAAGTAAAAGTATTTTTATAAACGTGAAGAAATGAATTGGAACTGAAATTGTGGTAAATTAGAATTTAAAAGAACGATGTAGGATTAAAATAAAAGGACGAAAGGAATGATGGAGGAAGAAGAGGTGGTAACTAAAAAAAAAGGGAACACAACCTAAGCCAATCTCAGATAAATTAATCCTTTTCCTTTCCAAACAAAACCATCTTCGGCTTAATATCCTTTCCCGTTAAATTCCTTTTTTTGATAGCACGCCAACTGAATCATTCTGAAAGTGAAATGTATCTTCTATAAATTCACTTTTTAAAAATATACACCTTTCTTCCTTGCTTTTTTATGGCTTCTATTGGGTTGGTGCATAATTATCAGGCGTTTTTAAACAATATTTATTATGAAAAAAGTAACGTAATTCAACAATAACATTTTTAAATTAATATTCCGGAGCGTATGATTATCGACACGCATTTTTATGGGCTGAAAATAAAATAATATTTTTATTTAAAAAAAGTAAACAAAACAGCAATTTTTTTTTTATTAACAAATAACAGAACTCATTTGATATTTAAAAATGGATGATGAGTAAGATTTGCATGTGATTCACCAAAAAGAGTCAGTTTAAAAAAAACATAGTTTGATATTGACCAGAGGAAAGAAAATAGAAAAAGGGGTGCACTGAATAAATTAATGGAGAGAAAAAAAAACTGTAAAAATGTCTAAGTAGGATTATTGTCTGTACAGTGTACACACACACACACACACACACGTGCGTAAATTATCGCATTATATGAAAGTTGCTTTGCTGATTCACATGCCAAAGATCAAAGGTTGCTTTTTGTGATTTCAATTTTTTTTAAATTACTCTTTCTTTATTCTTAAGTTAAAACCATAGTTTGTCAGTGTGAGCGAAATAAGACTAAAATCAAAAGGGCAACATTCATAAATTCCGGTTACTTCCTGACTTCAAATCTAGACAAACATTTAAAATTTTCTAATTAGTCAAACAAAACCTGGTATCTCATAAAATATTTAAAATATTTTCATAATAAAAACGTGTTTAGTACAATATTTTTCATAGTACAAAAATATTCATTTCAAAGATAAACGTTGTTTAGTTTAAAGAACAATGTAAGAGAGATAACGTGGTAGGGGAATTATTATTGTATGAGCAAAAGCTGACTACTAAAAATGTAGGGAGGTGAGGTCAGGTGAGGTGAGTAGGTTACATGTAAATTAAGAGTAAGGAGGGAGTCAAATAGAAAATAACAATGTAGCAGTGTATGCAATAAGAAAAGTGGAAAGAGAAGCATACATGACTTCAGAAGTTGAAGGGATAATAATAATAATAATAATACTAAAACAGGGTCTTGTTGATCACCACAAATATTTTTTCAGACTTTCACATATAACTTTCCAAGATTGCCTAAAAAAAGTAAAAATAGTAACTAAATTCACGAATTTGAATGCTTTTTTAAAATAAATTTACAAATTAAAAATTATGCTTCATTACATGCAAATTCATTTGGAACAGTTCAGTTTTAGACTTTTAAGTTTTAATATTTAGGAAGTAAAGCCCATTTTTCCTGTAAAAAATCACTAAAAGTAAAATAGGTCAATTTTTTAGTGTAACTCCTTACCTTACATGAAAAGTCAACGTCTTTCAAAATAAATTACAAACTATTGGCTATCACTGGATTACACTACGAAAAAAATAAATTTATTTAATTAGCACTAAAATTACAGCATTAGAATTAATTTACTTTTATTAATTGTACATTTGTCCAAGAAACTCAACCCCTAAAAAGAAAATCTTACATAATTAAATAATTCATTCAGTAAATTTAACTACCTAAATTCAAAGTAGACTTTCTTGATATTTTATGATTCTTGTACCAAATCAAAAATTCTATAATAACGAACATGTGACTTTAAAATTTTAAGAAAATTATGTAAAAAGGACCAAAGGAGGTCAAATCAATATATTAAGGAAATGACTTCAGATTAAAACCCTTTGCCCCCAAAAGGTTAGCAATTAATAAATATCAGTTTGGATTAATTTCTTCCTCTTTCTAAAACCTTGCATCACTCATAATTTTGAAACAATTTAACAACTGCAATACACGAAAATGTCAAAAGTGAAAAGTCCACACTCCACGGCAATAATGTACACAAAACAATAATATAGAGTTATTTTCTAATGCGTTTAAGAATTTTTTTACTAAATAAAACAACAATGTTTTTCCAACAAAGTTATGATGTTGGATAAGTATATTTTTTTAATCAGAAGTTTCTAAAGTTTTATTCTAAACTGCACATACTGAAGTGAGAATTATATTTGGAGGTTCTGGTTAAAACCATCCCTTTTTTATTCAGATTTTATTTCTTAATTTAAACAAATTTGAAACAATTGATCATTTGATTCTTTTTTCTTTCTTTTTTGTAAGAACATCTTATTCTTCTAGAAAAATTACCAAGATTGTGAATTTATGAAAGAAATAAAAAATATTACATTGGAATTATTCCAGATAATAAAACATATTTTCAATTTCTGTTATCCGGATTTTCTTGATAAACTGTCAAAAAACTAGTTCTATAGAAAATAACTTAACAGTAGCTGCTGAGTCCAATTTATTGAATTCTTCCTCTTTATTAGTAACCTTTTAAGTTTTATTTCTTTGCA